AATTATTTTTTTTCCCTCTAGCTGTATCTAGGCAGAAAGTTGCCTGCCCTAATGCAGTATGTGGCTCACAGCAAATAGCACAGCAGTCACTACGCATGTCTGTCTGCTTTCTCTTTATATATACCCTGAGCAAGGATTTTTCTCATCTCATACATCATTCACAATCTACTGCAGTGATTCCCCAGTGTGTCTGTACCTTCAGCACAATGAAGAAGAAATGGGCTGCTTGAAAAAGGCTGCCTTCTCTCTCTAAAAGACTGGCATTCCACTGCACTGCAAAATCCCTGAGGCTGTATTTTTAGCAGCACCTCAGGAATAGTTTGCCCTTTAAGGCTCCAAGTAGGAAGAACAACAACAAAATTTGGGATGTGCATTCAGTCCTTTAGTCTCTTACTCCAAATGAATCGCTTTTAACACTGAAAGTTTGTAATTGTACCCAGCAAGAACTCCCACGACCAGAAAATGCCATTTAATGTCATAGGTCTTTTAAGAGCAAAACTGAGCTATCTGAAACATGGCAAGAAGAAAATAATTCATCAAAGCTCTGTTGAATACTGGAATAAACTATGACTCCTACTATGCTTTATTTCCTGTTTTCATTATTCTTATAGACATTATTGAGGAATAATACCTTTGAGCAACTGAGTATTTTGTCAGATAGCAAATAATTGTGCAGTAGGCTGTTAATCAAAAGCCTCACAAATTAATACGGTAATAACACTCACCTGTTTTGTATCAGGAGTCATTAGGTTTAAGCTGGTGGTGGAGATATTCAGCATTATGCTCATTCCTGCAAACTGAAGATTGCTCTTTCCCAGGATGCTAGAAAGAACTTTGCTTGGTGGCTGTGAGGGGGTGGAAAAAGCATGTTTTGGTTCTCTTTATTTAGGATGATCTTCATTGTAGGCAGGGTTAGCTGTTATCTTAAAGGTTTCTAAGAAGTTGCTGACTTTTCAAAGACCATTCCATTGCAACAGCTGTTTTCCTCTGGAGATAATGTCTCATTAATACTGCTACTACTGATCATAATAATAAATAAATAAACAAATATTATA